ACCACTGGTCGACCTATGGCAAACCTCTCGGCTGCCCAAAGCTGAAGCAACATAGGGCAGCCAGCGATGATCGCTCCCGCGTCAGTCTTCGTGCACGCCTCACAGAGGGCACGGTACGTGGCTGCTAGCACGGCAGAACCCCAGCTCCATTGCGGCACGTCCTGTGGCTGAGCATCCGCGATGGACCGTGCGTAGTGGACCAGCCGGAAGTCCACAGCGTGCCCGTGGGTGCTAGTGAACATCACCCACCCGAACAACCACAACAGGTACGCCTCAAGGGAGCGTCGGACCGAGTAATCATCAGCGTCAGGGTGCAGAAGGTCCGCCTACAATTAAGAATGAAATGTTAGTACAAAACACTCTGTTGATCGCAAATAAGCATGTATGATAATAACAACTTATTTACTTACAGTGAACTGGAGCAACCAAGCCTTGCTAGGCCCGACTGTAGAGTACGGAGGAAGGGTGTTGGCCGGTCCTAGGTGTGGAAGGCGCATCACCTGCTCGAAGCGCGCAGTGATATCCTCCTTCCACCCAACAACACCGTCCACGGAACCAACTGGTGCTCCCGCCAGCGGTAGCCCGAGCAGGTACGACACGTCCTGCAGTGTCGGAGCCATCTCCCCACAGGGAAGGTGGAACGTGTGCGTCTCAGGTCTCCAGCGGTCTACCAGAGCGGCAAGGAGTGACCGGTCTGCATCCCACCGCTTCGCTGGGTCACGGTCGTCCGCCGCCGCCTCAACAAGCCTACAAAGTGGTAGAAGGCCTGCCGCACGCAACCTGTATAGAGCAAACTTCAAACATAAGTACAACACAAAGCAAAGTTGAGTTGAAATGTGAACATACGCGTACCAAGGAACGTGACGGGGGTCGACACGCAACCACTCGCGCGACGTGCGTGGACGGAAGGTGCCGAGCTGTGCACCCTCGACTGCTGACAGGAACGAGCGGTGGTTCCTGTCAATCCCACGGTTCAACAGCGCCGGTGTGTCGTACGCCATACCTGCATCAAATAGATTGGTCAGAAACATATAAATAATTAGTCAACATAAGTAATAAATGTTCATAAGCGAATTACTAACACATATTAAACAAGAGTACAAACAAACAAAAGTGTCACCATACGGAATATTTCTGATTACAACAATAGCTACAGTTACACGATATGAGTACTTAGTCCGAACACTCATCACGATAACATTATGATACAACACCGAATAGTTCGCAATACTACTAGTACAACAATAGTCGGAGGTACTCATTACAACAACATTCAATTGAAATTACACGATAGAAGTATTTAGTCCGAACACACATCACATCACAACAGCGTTTTATTTCCTAAATCGATAGCATTGTTACACCATGGAATCGCCTGCTGCGCGACGACGCCTTGGCCTTGCGTGCCTGCTTGTTGTTCCTTCACCAGGTGGTCGCCTACCATCACTTGCCTGTCCAGATGGACTAGCATCTGCGCCGCTTGGAACTTCTGCATTCTTCGGGCATTTCTTGTAAGTATGGCCGCGCAGATCACACTTGCTGCAGCGTAAAGTCCTCCCACCTGCTTCTGACTCATCCATATCATTTCTGATGCGTCTAGTTTGGCGTCGACCCTTTTTCACCCTTAACTTAGATGGATCTGGAATATAAAAAACTTGGGCACTCAGCGTTGTGTAAGATCCTGAGATCCCGAACCCATATATCTCCTCACTCCATGTATGAAAGATTGCTTCTTTCCTGAAATAATTTGAGACGTACACATTGGGAGATATGCCACAATCACCGGCAGCAGCAAGAACGTGTGAGCAAGGAAGGTGATGAAGCTTCGGCTTCATACAACTGCAGGTACATCCACCATCCGCCTTTAAGACACATTCCTGCACGGCTTGCTTGCGATAGATACCACGCCTGCTCCTATCAACACACATTATTTCATACCGATGCACTTGTGTGCCTTGAGCAACAACTCTATGTCTCCGTGCCTTTTTGATTTTATCTTCCATGTACTTTGTCACTACGTTGCCAAACACTATATTGTTATCGGCCATGGACGGATCAATTTTCTTGTATCGATCCCTAAAGTACGCTTGCGTGCCGTGAAGGATGAATTCAACAATAGCAACCAATGGAAGTACCCGAACTCCTCGCATTACCCAGTTGTACACCTCTGCCAAATTGGTTGTCATTATGCCATACCGAGATCCATCAGTGTCGAACAATAGAGACCACTTCTCCTTAGGCTCATTCTCAATCCACTGAGTGAAATTTCTGATGGACGACCTTGACCTCCTTCTCATTGTTGGTGTGTCATCATGTAATGCACCAAGAGGTATGGGAGGCTCGTCACCTTCAACTTGTGGTCTGCGAGATTGCTCATCTGTTTGCTTCGTTGTCAACTCATCCAACTTGTCCCACAACTCATTAAATTTCTTCTCTTGGTTCTGTGCACAGAGCCTCTTAAAGAGCTCCATAAGATGCTTGTTCTTGAATTGCTTGTAGAAATTTGCACCCATGTGACGCATGCACCACCGACTCCGAACATCAGGCCACTTAGCTGGAAGTCCCTTCTCATCCCAACCGTTCTGCAAGTAGTCAATAGCCCGTAACATACCCGCATGACGATCATGTATAAGGCAAACGTTGGGCCTCATACGCACCACTGCAATGTGCACTCTCTCTAGGAACCAGTACCAGCTTTCAGTGTTCTCACTCTCTACAAATGCAAAAGCCATAGGTAGAACCTGGTTGTTCCCATCACACCCAATTGCTGTCAATATCTGACCTCGGTATTTACCTGTCATAAAAGTTCCATCTATGCATAGAACAGGTCGACAATGCACAAAAGCATTGATGCAAGCACCCAATGAGAAAAAGGCTCTTTGCAGCACACTCTTTGTTCGATCATCAACCGATGTAAATGTATGTAGGTCATAGTAAGTATTATTATTCCTCTGGGCAATGGTGGCTAACAAACGAGGCAAATTATCATAAGAAGCTTCAAATGTGCCATACCTCATCTCAATAATCTTTTGTTTGGCTCTCCAGGCCTTTGCATAGCTTATGGTGTACTTGAATTTGTTCTCGATGTGCCTAATAATTGATTTTGGTTCAAAGCCAATGTTACCAACAACACTGCTGTACATCTCACTTGCCACAAAAGCTGAAGTGATGTTTCGGTGATACTTCTCCACCCCTTGTAAGTAGCACTTGTGCTCGGTCACAATGCTAACTTTCCAATAATCATTCCATTTACCCTTATATGCATGGACACGCCACGGACAATCTTCCTTCATGCACCTCACTTCATACACATAATTTGTTGACTTCACCACCCTAAACTCTCTCTGCAAGAAAACTGCCCAATGCTTCACCGCCTCCTTCATCTCATCCTTATAAGCATACCTTGCACCCTCAATTACCTCGTTCTCCTTATACTCCCAGGGTACATGATCACCCTCTGATATAACAAGTCCAGAGAAGTCCTCATTTGCCCAATCAGTGGCCATTACATCACCTTCCTCATCGGATGATGCATCGTCGTCCGCTTCCTCATTATCCGAATCTTCCCTCTCCATTTCATCAACAATTATACCGACTCTCTCCCCCTCATCCGCCATGCCCATGGCCTGCTCCTCCCTTGGTTGATTTTCCTCATTTTGCATCGATGGTCCAACAACATCCCCTGCATTGATAGGACCCTCTACATCTTCGGTTTGCATTGAAACATTTATATCTTTCTCTTGTACCGACACAAATATAACGAGGGGCCATGACCGTTCAAAAGCCATTTCCACATACCGTCTCCAAGCAGCAGTGCTGTCCATCGGCATTAGTTCCCAAAAATAACCTTCTGTTGCATGACTCACTACAACTGATACTGACATTGTGTAGACTTCTTGGTCTATTCTAAATCCTCTCAACAACCAACTATAAATTGACTGAAATGTTCTCTCCGCAGGCCTATCGATGCCCTTAGATGTCATTACAAAATCTGACAGATCAACACCATCTGGACCAAATCTAATATTTCCTTCACCGTGAACTATCTGAAATGTGACCTTATTTGACATTGTGCCTGATGAAAACAATAACTGCGTTAACCTCGCATTTCTGTACTACGCCCTAAGTTACATTCTCTACAATATTGTTCTCCAAAATTCTAAAAGTAGGTTACATTCTCCAGATCAAACTAAACTACATCTTACAATTAACACTACTGTCTATGTCTCAATTCATACTATTATATTCTATGCTCTGGATCTACACATATGTGCTGTGTGCTACAGATATGCTAAAATATATGGAACTAAAACTAAAACGCAACATATATACTCAAACATAACATATTAGTACAAATGCAAAAGATGTATGGGAGCAAACCTGTGATGAAGTGAGCGAACCAGCAGGGCTTCGCCGCTCCCCTTCTGCTGCCCTCTCCTCTCTCTCTTTCGTTTTTTTTGGATTTTTAGTGAATATAATGAAATTTCAGAGAGGGGGGACTGGGCTTTATAGGGGGGAGGCAAAAATCGCCGGCCGTCGCCCGAGAGCGAACGGCCGTCTGCCACGTCATTTTCGCCGCCCTCTGGGATGGCGATTTTTAAAAATCGCCCTCCCAGAGAGCGGTAGGCGACTACTTCCGTCAATTTTCAAAATGGAAAATTATTTTTGTAAAACTTTTAATAAAGAAAATTAAAAATAAAAAAAATTCAAAGTTGCATCACTTTGGTTGGGCTCGTACGGGATTGCCGCTGACGTGGAACTGAAGTGAGGGCCATGTGTGTTGGGCCGGAACTGTGATGTGCGGTCCATTTGGGCTCGGCAGGAACTGTACTGCAATCTCACGTGTGGCCTATACATACTGGGCCGGAACGGGAATGCAGCTCAAGTGCAGCCCATGTAAGTTCGGCCCAGACGGCATATGCAGCGATCACTGTGCAACTGCTGCTAACATCGGCCCATCTCCTACTTCTACATATCAGTGCATTTCACGCGAACAAAAATAACCTCGTACAACTGCATTTCTGGCTTTATTTATTCATACATACATACATACCCAATACAGAGCAGGATAACCGTACGCAATACACGGCACGATCGAACTCGTCGAAGCAGACACGAAATCAAGTAAGCGAGACACGTACGTACGTCCATATATAGACGGCGTCTATGGCAGGTGGGCCATGCGACAGGCGCACTCACACACGTATAAACGGCACGCAGAACTGGAGTATTATGGTTTGGTTTTAGCAGGAGGGGACGGGGACGTGGCAGGCGGCCAAGACCTTCTTGCCGTTGGGGGAGTTGACGTAGCGCTGCAGGTTTGGGTCGCGCGCGTACTGGCACAGGCACGGCTGCTGCTCCTTCATCCGGCTGCAGCACGACGCCGACGGCGACGCGTTCCCGATGATCGCGCTCGCGCACGGCGACAGCTGCAGCGCGTCGCACGCCGCCTCCGCCCCCGGCGCCGCCGCCGCCGCGAGCAGCAGCAGCACCGCCATCGCCGCCACCGCCAACGCCACCTTCGCCATGGCCCTTCGCGATCGAAATTAAGAACTTAGATAAAAATGATCAAGAACCAGTTATTGCTACTACTTGCTTTGTATAGGATTGCTAGCTACGATGACCTGGGTTGTGGATGGTGCCAGACTGGTGGTATTTATAGGCCTAGGGAGAGAGTGGCAGTGTCGCTTGCTGATCACTGCACAAAGCAAGTGACAAGTGCAAACATCATGGCGAATTGGCAATGGCTATTTGTCGCGACCGAGAAAATTGCATTTTCCCGAACGCTAGTGTATTAATCCCCGTCCCAGGAAAAGCCGGGGTACACCATACAAACATGATATAAAAGACACATCTTTATTATATCGATAATATTTACATTATTACAAAGGCACTTAAGGCCTGACAATCAAAAATAAACAGCAGCGGACTAGCGGGCCTACGGCTCCATCTTCACAGGCGCTCAACTGGGGTATAAGCCAAGACTCCACCTAAGACTTCTTCTCCAAAGCTTCTCTTACTGAAGGGGGGAGAAAGATAGAGCAAGAATGAGTACAACCACAGTACTCAGCAAGCCACACCGGCAGATGCACGACTAATGCAAGGGGGTACAAGGGGTAATGATATAGGGGTTAAGTTATGCAGAAAACAGCATTTAAAAGTCACTTAGTTGCCCAAAGCCATTTTATAAAGACGATCCTAGAGCTACACAGTATTATTAATCAAGGCCGTGAACCCTCACGAACCTGCCTTAACCCAAGGCCTACGATGATTCAGACCGAACTGGCAACCCGACCCTGGGTCCCAGCTCGTCCCAAGCCAACCCAGGCCAACCATTCCACATTTTAGTTGTTGAGCAAATTTTAAGAATTAAAACACTAACTTGGGTACATTGCTCGGCTTGCCCATAACCGAGGGCGCGGCTATTCGAATAGATTATACTCTGATCAGAGGTGTACATCTTTACCCACAAGACACATCTTCCTCACGTGTAACCACGTGCCACATACCACCACGGTATACGGACGGAAGACGTGACATAGTTCCCAACCCATCCTAGCCATAAACAAGAGTACCGACCCAACCCCACCTACGGCCGGAACCTCCGGGACAGGTAGGCAGGATTGAGCCCCTAGCAGCAGGACACCAGCCCTGTGCCATGACATCTCGACTACCGGGCCGCAGCTCGTGTAGCCTTCATTTGTCCTAGAGATGTCCATCGACCCCCGACTTCGTCCATCTCCATCCGTGTACTTTTGTTTATAACCAGTCTGAGCTACAAACTAAGCCTTACCCACTAGACATGTGGAAGTACGGTAGTGCTTTGCAACAGAGGCCCGAGCTTAATCCTTATAGTGGCCGGGGTGCTACTTCCCACAACTGGCATGCACCCAAACCCCACCGAAAAACAGGTTTTAGGGGCTTTGAAAGAGGAAGAGAGGGCTATGTCCAATTCCACCATAATCCGACAATTCCATAATGTCCAAATGATATGAGATTTCCCAAAGTCTAAAGTTATAAAACCCCCTAATGTTTCCTAATTAACCAGCGAAGCATCTACCGAAGTTCATACTAGTGGAACCATGAATAGAGTACCCACTAGTTGGGGTTTTGTTTTCCTAGGGTGAACAAGGTAATAATAACAATAGCAATAATAATAAGGTCATAACAAAGGTAAATAGGCATGGCTAAATAAAACAGTGATAACGCGGGAATTTAAATAAAGCGATAATGCAATAATTTAAATCAAAATAATTTTATAAACTGGGATTCAATATGTTCAAGGATGATGTGACTTGCCTTGCTCGCTTTCCCAAACGTCGGCTTCAACTTCCACGAAGAGCGGATCTTCCGAAGCCGCAGCGTCTACACGACCAACGGAAAAGAAAAGGCTTTTACTCTACTAAACTCCATATAACAAGCAGAAACAAAGCACAAAAATGGGTTCTTGGCTTCTTAAGGAAAAATTAGAGACTTGAACGGTCCAATTCCGAGTTCAAATGGCCAAGTTATGGCCATTTGAAGTTTATATGCTCTTTAAATGGATATTTACGAATTTCTTCATTTAAATTTTAATTTAAAATCGGATTTATTGCGTCAGCCGAGGGGAGGGGCGCGCGGACCGGGTCCACGGGAGTGGGGCCCACGCGGCAGCCTCACGGTCCACGGTGGACCGGGTGCACGCGGCTTACGCCGGCCGGCGCCGTGGGTCCCACGCGTCAGCCGCACCCGAGGGCGCGGGCGGCTGACGGCCGGGCCCCACATGGCAGCCGCGGGGCGCGCCCGAAGGCGGCCACGCCGGCACAGCCGACGGGAGGCGGCGCGCCCGCGCCCCTATGGTCGCCGGCGGCGGCCATAGGCACGGCGGAGCGGCGGCCGAGAGAGGGGAGGGAAGGGGGAAACGAAACGGCGGTCCACGGCTCACCCCGGGTCGACGGCGACGACGGGAACGGCGACCGGAGCGGAGGAAGGCGGCGGCGCGGCTCGGGTCGACGAGGACGGCGGCGTTCCGGCGGTCGGCGGGCGAAACGGAGGGGTGGACGAGGTCGGCGAGGACGCGGCGGAGCCGAAGGAGGCGACGCCGAGGCGGGAGAAGGTCCGGGGCGACGACGGCGGCGGACCGGAGCTCGGCGGTGACGGCGGAGAGAGAGAGCGACGGCGCGAGCTCGATTCCGGCGGAGAGAGAGAGCGGCGAGTGGCGGAAACGGTGGAGGGAGGCACGGGGAGCGCTTATATAGTGTTGGGAGGGGGAGAGAACGGCCGGATGAGGGGGAATCGGCCGCGGAAGATCCGGCCGCCATTGATGCGCCGGCGAAGTTTGCGGGAGTGTTACCAAACGAATCCGAGGGAGAGAGAGAGGGAAAAGTGGGGGGAAAGAGGGAGGGAATCACGGGGAGTGATTTCCCCCTCTTTATTGCGCGCGGGGGCGGCGGGATGCGGCGGAATCCGCGGCGGCGGCGGCGCTAGGGCACGGGCGAGGCGGCGGGTGCGGCGCGAGGTAGGGGATGACAGGTGGGCCCCACCCGTCAGCGAGGGTGGCGGGCGGGCCCGCCCGTCAGCGGCACGCGCGCGGGGAGGAGGCCGATTGGGCCGCGGGGGAGAGGAGAGAGAGGGAGGGAGGTGGGCCGAGCCGGCCCAAGAGGGGGAGGGGGGAAAAGACTTTTCAGGGTTTTTCTTTTTATAAACTCATTTTAACTTTGTTTATTTCTTAATAATTATTATTTGTGCTCTGAAAATTCCACTAAAATTTGAGGGCTCTTTTTAGACCAAGGAGAATTTAACAAAAATTCTCCGGGCCACATTTGAATTTTTCTTGTACGTATTTTAGTGTTTGCCAATTTCTTTTCGAATTTTAATTAATTCTATTATTCCTTTTAGAGAATGATTTTTATTTCGGGATGAATTTATCAGGACGTGACACTATTACTAGGTTGTTTCGTCACTTCAGGGCTTTCCACTTTGTTGCCATTTTTAATCGTACTAAAATTTTTTTTAACGACTCGAACAAAACAGTACGAAATTTTATTCATAGAGCAGAAAAAAATTACAAGATTACAACCCTGATCTTATATGTATTTGGTTTTTATCGTCTTACTATTTTTTTCAATTACATGGTAGACGCACACGCACACACATAACTACACACGCAACATCATACTCATACTCTCATGAATGCATACCCTAACACATGTTCTAAAAGACGGAAACCATTACTAATTTTTTTAATTACATGGTAGACGCACGCGTACACACATAACTACACACGCAACATCATACTCATACTCTCATGAACGTGTACCCTAACACATGTTCTAAGAGACGGAAACCATTACTAATTTTTTTAATAACATGGCAGACGTACGCGTACACACATAACTACACACGCAACATCATACCCATACTCTCATGAACGCGTACCCTAACACATGTTCTAAAAGACGGAAACCAACTGTACATCCCTGATCTCACTAAAGTTATGTTGAAAGTCCACCTCCATGTGCATAATATTTGTGGCACCAGAATTTGAACCCTGGTGGGTGGAGTCATGCACCCACAAATCTACCACTCCACCACTGGTGCTTCTTTGTCTTACTAAATTTTGGTATAGCTTTTGAGAGTGGAAACTTATGAAATTATCAAAAATTAGTAGGATAACAATAATAATCTATGTCTGGTATGTTATCCTATGAATCATAGTTGCTCCATTGAAAATGGTAACAAACTGATCAAGTCCTTCGTGCACAAGACAAACACTAGTGCAGGACAAGTGTGATCCGCAGATTGCACAGGTCCTCCACACTCTGACTTGTCGGGAGCAACAACGCATGCATGTATGCGCCACTACGGATGACTGGGCAAAATGGTGTGAGCACCACTTGTGACAATTTCGGTGTGTAGGGGTAGTTGCGCTCAAAGTGAAAGCAACTCGACTCGTACAACAAAACTGCACGCACTAACGCAAGTGTGTCACACCCTTGCTGAAAAGCAGGTCTGGTGGATTGCCCGTGATAAGGTTTGTTAAGCATCGTTACCATCAGTTCAGATTTGTTAAGCTGGTTAAAAGCATGGTTTCTTTGGTTACTTTTTAGAAAAGAAAAAGGTAACATAAAAAACATCTGGTGAAAACTCAAATTAAAGTGCAAAAGTAAAAAAAAACAGTAAAAGAAAAAGGGTTCAGTGATTAGTAATGGTCTGATGGGTATATGGGAAAACTAGTTCTGCATGTCTAGCTGAAAATGTTCAGAACATTTGGATTTGGTCAGCTAGAAAAAAACACACTGTAAAATTAAATCACCGTTTTACTGACTGTATACAGTACATGCCGTCACATAAAGTATACAGAGACTACATATTCATAGGCCTAAAAAGCGTCACCATTTCGATATGATGATTAACGCCCAATGTATTATTCCAACACATGGAAAGTTCAAAAGGGTAAACATATCAAATGCAGAACTCCATTAAGCGAGAAGCCTTTCAGTAGTGGCGACGGCACTTCCTCTTGCCCAACCCAGGAATCACATTCAGGGCACCCAAGTCAAGCAATGTTGTGACAGATCCTCCTGTTCGCGAACCATCTAGTCCCAATGCTAAAAAAAACCTCAGGAATGAAAAGCAAAGTTCAGTCTGAAACCTGAACCATACCGACCATGACAGTCCTTTCGTTTGTTCTTTGGTCGCCAAATTATTCGGGAGATTAGGCTTCTACTTTTCTCTTCCCCTCTCTTGTACCCTGTCCCTTTCTTTTTATTTTTCAGGCCCGTTCTATAAATACATTTATTCCTCTTAATAAAAAAAGCGCGTCTCGCGTATCCCAAAAAAAAAAGTCTGAAACCTGAAACCAACAACTTCAATCGTTCAGTTGAAGACTGATCACTTTCGAGTTTTTTTTTTGTTCCGATCCTACAAAATGCATATGAACCTCTTCTCTTTGTAAAGTATAACTGTCTAGGTAAATACGCTCAAGTTCAGCAATCAGAATGAATATACTACTGGTGATAAAATTTTGTTTGTTGCTAGTAGAACTTGGCTTCAAGGCTCTAGAAAAGAATCTCCTTTGCTGTTGGTAAACCTCTGTTTGAAGCAAATCTTGCCCTGGTATCTGTTCGTTCCTCTGTACCCCAGCACAAAGCTATCCTTTCCTTCAGAAACTAGGCAGCTTTGTGCTAGTATCCTAGGGCTTATAAGGCCAAGAGTCATGTAACCTGACCAATTAACCATAGTAGCCAAACACAAATCTCCCACAATAATAACTCAGGCAACATGAATGTTCCTCATGTTTCGAGTGATTCTGATGATGATCGACCGGTGATAAGGCTTTTTCATAGGCAGAAACCAGTTCATAAGATCCTGGGTGGCCGGAAAGGTGTGGTTGTTTGTCTATGTTGAACATTCTATTTCAGCAACATTTCACAAATTTCAGAATCAGTCTGATCATGATCACTGGCATTGTGTTGGTTTTTGCAGTTGCGGACATCATGCTATGGAGGGACAGGAATTTATCGGCCGGGATCCTTGCAGGCGCCACATTGATATGGTTCCTATTTGATGTGGCTGAATACAACTTAGTAACACTCCTTTGCCACATTGCACTCCTTGGGATGCTTGTGCTCTTCATTTGGTCCAATGCTGCACCTCTCTTTGACAGGTTTGCACTACCATACTGAATAAAAAACACAACACAATAAATTAGATGAAGAAGATGCAGTGGTGGCATCAAATTGAAATCTTTCAACCACGTACTCCTATTTGTTTTCCTTTTGGTCTCTGAGTAACATCTCAGCTAACCAACCTTGATTTACAGGGCACCTCCACGGATCCCAGAAGTGATTGTTTCTGAACATGCCTTCAGAGAACTTGCACTGACATTGCATTCCAAAGTGGCGCACTTTTCAGCAGTCCTGTATGACATTTCATGCGGGAAAGAACTCAGGAAGTTCCTTGCGGTACAATCAAAATTTGCTGTTTCTTTTTTTTTTCTGATTTAGTGACAGCAAGACCTATAACAGTTGCAACGATGTTTCATATATATTTGCAATGAATTCACAATCTAAAAACTATTAATATGTAGTCAACAAAAATATCCCCATGAATTGGGATTTAAAAGTTAATTTCCAGTTGCAATTAATTTGGTGATTAACTAACTCCATTGTTGTTACATAAATAGGTGATAGGATCTCTGTGGATATTGGCAGTTATTGGAGAGACATGCAGTTTCACAACTCTACTATATGTTGGTAAGTATCGCTGGGACACTGAATTTCAACAAGTCAAAAACAAAATTAGGACATAACATTTTTTTTTGACCAAGGGCAAGAATAATTAGGACAGAACATGGTAAATGCAATGACTTATCAAGCACTCATGAATGTAAAATAACAACATTTTCATATCTGCTTAGTAAATGCAATGATAAATCAAACAGGCATCCTTGTAAAATAAAATTTTTCATATGCATTAACAATTTACTGTGTCTTCTTGACCAGGGTTTTTGTGTGCTCTCACTTTGCCTGCGCTGTATGAAAGATATGAGACTGAAGTAGACCATTTGGTTGCCAAAGGTGGTCAAGACCTCAAGAAATTCTACAAGAAGATTGATTCCAATGTGCTGAATAAGATACCAAGGGGGCCTGTCAAGACAAAAGTTCACTAAGATATACTACAAGAGATATCAATGCATATAAATAGCTTCATAAATAAAAGAAATGTTGGTTTGATGGAAAGTGAGCTTAGAGCTCCATTTCAGTTATGGCTTACAAGATCATATACTCTCGATATATTTTATTGTGAATTATGAGATCAATTAACAATTGTATATGTCAAATTGTTACTTACATATGTGTTCGAGGGTCGAACTGCATCCTCTTGGACTCACGAAGCTAAGGCCAAATCGCTTGGGATTAACCTTTTGAAGAATAAGCACATCTTCTGAAATTCTCATAGAAAAATTAGAGCATCCACATTAAAAAAATACGCGTAAGTTTCCTAATAACCTTTCAAGGTTACTCACAAAAAAAATCATTTCAATTCTGATATGAGTTAAAACAATGTAAAACAATGTGAAACTGCAGCTGTCATTATTGGGTATGGGCATAGGTCAGCCTGATTAGTCAAGGAATGACAATGCAAATAAGATACTTAAACTGCCAGAAAGACACAGACCATTCATGAAACCATACACTGCCAGCTGACTTAACAAGAAACCGTGAGCTGGAGACAATCACAGAAGCCGGCCCAAGTGCACTGCTTTCTGGAAGGAAGTTGTGACAGGAAGAAGATATGGTGAGATCATCCTGGTTGTATTGTAGTGAAGCTTCTCTGAATTTTTCCAAGCAGGAAGGCTTGGAATTGCCATGCCACACTTGTCACCGTTACTTACATACTAGACCAAAGTTACAGCTTCTCTCCAACTCCAATAGAGCATATATCACCTCCAGGTTACAAGAGATTTTACATGATGAAGGAGAGTGCAATGGAGGAGAATTCAGTAGGAAGTGGATCAGGGGGAAACGCCATGGACATCTTTGGTCAGAGCATTGATGTCAGAAGACCAAGCAAGAGCAGAAGAAGAGTAGTTTCCCACAAGGTACCTTCTCAAACACATCTTTTTTCCTGCCTTTCTCAAACCGAAAATTACATCATATTATCATGTACTTGAAGCCTTGAACTGCCTGTATGCATATCTAAGGGCCCCTTTGAAATGCAAGATTGAGAAAAACACAGTAATAGGAAAAATGTAGAAATAGACTATCATACTCATTGGATTTCTACGGGATTTTGAAATACACGAAAGTTTCAAAACTGTTGTTTAATTAGCACACAGGAAAAACTCATGAAGACGAAAACACAAGGTGAGACCTCATGCTTATTTTCCTCTAAAATGATCCATTCCATAGGAATTTCTAAGGAATGGGGAGGAAATATCCTGCCCATTCTAGCCAAAATTGTAGGTTCTACCGGTTGGTCCCGGACATTCCCGGTAGGATGAGATTCTAGCCAAAATTTCAAATTTGTTCGTATTTAGCACAAATATGCTCAAAATCAGTAAAAGAAAAGGTTCAAATTTCAAAATTACTGTTCAAAATTCCCCAAATTTCGCAATTTCCGTCCCCTTCCCAGATTGGTGAAACCTTCTGTTCTACTCCTATTTTGTAGTTCAAAGTTATCTGTTCAAAATGCAGAATTTGTCTCCTGAAATCGAAGAATCGATTGGATCAAGCAGGCGTAAATTGCATCGACGTAAGGCCATTGCAGAGGATCAGGAGCAAGCACGAGTAGAATCCGAGCTATCGAGGGCGATGAACATGGCCATGGAGCTGGAGCGCCAGATCGAGCAGACCAATGCCAAGGCGAGGTCTCGCAGGTCAGAGCTCCAGAGGCAGCGAACGCGTGCGAGCGGCGGCGGCAGCAGGAGGAAGACGGCGAGAGGCCTCGCCGCCGAGGCAGCCGGCGGCGCTCCGGCTCATCGCCAAGAGGGCGTCGGCACGGCGTACGGCGAGGTGATGCAGGAGCTCGACCGCGTCAAGGGAGAGCTCCGCAAGCTGCAGCGCGAGGTGATGGCCGCGATGGCGGCGAAGGGCACGGCCGGGAGGAGGGACGCGGAGGCGGAGGCGTCTACGTCCAGCGCGGTGAGCTCCGGCCCGCGCGGCGGCGGTGGCGTGGAGCGCGATGCGGACGGGGCAAGCGAGGAGCACGGCGTCCTAGTCGAGCTCGCCGTGGGCACGGCGGCCACGGCGAGCTCCGACGCGGGATCCTGGCACAGCGAGCTGGCGGTGGTACGAGCAACGGATGCCACTGCAATGGCGTCGAGGGGACACGAGGTGGAACACGAAGAGCCATCGCTGCAGGCGGCGGAGGCGGAGCTGAGCTCGGCGAGGATCGAGCTGGAGTCCATCAAGGCGGAGGGCCTCCGGTTCACGGCGTCCATCGAGCGCACGCGCAGGGAGACGGCGCGTGTCACCGACGAGATCCGCCGCCTCACGGAGCAGGAGAAGGCGGCGAGCGCGCATGTGCAGCAGCTGAACGCCAAGCTGCTCAAGGCGAGGTCTCGCCTCGAGGCCGTCACGGCGGCCGACGAGAGGGCCGACGAGACCATCTCCAAGCTGGCGGCGATCCTTCGGCAGCTGGAGGACGACGCCGCGGCGGCGGAGAAGGAGAAGACGCTGGCGGATACGGAGAACCGGCGCGCCATGTCCGACGCGGAGAACATCGACGCCGAAATCGCCGCCGCGGAGAAGAGGATCAGGGAGTCGGTAAGGGAGCTCGGGGCGGCGAGGGCGTCGGAGGCCGCGGCGACGGCGAGGCTGAAGGCGATCGTCGAGAGCGCGACGCTGGCCACCGCCGCGGCCGCGACGCCGCGGAGCTCGTCGTCCGGGAACGTCACGATCCCCAGGTTCGAGTACGAGTACCTGACGGGGCGCGCCGAGGTGGTCCGCGCGGTGGCGGAGATGAAGGCGGCGGCGGCGGAGGCGTGGGCGGAAGCGCGGCGAGCCAGCGAGAAAGAGATCGCAATGCGGGCCGAGGCGATCGAAAGGGAGCTCGGAGAAGCGAGAGCCGCCGATGCAGAAGCGACGAACACGACAAGGAGGATGCCATTCTCGTCGGCGGCGACGTCGAGAATGGCAAAGTCACGGAGGATGCCATCCTCGTCGGCGGCGGCGGCGGCGCGGAAGCCGAGGTCGCCGTCGTCCAGCGTTAAGAGGAGGAAGAGAAGAGTCCTGACACTGAACTGTCTGAAGCTTCTCGCTGGGAAATGCAGGGGTCAGAATTGAGATTCAGAAAAATGCAGTATAATCATCAAACAAAAAAAAATCTCTCTTCTTATTTTTTTTCTTTCACCTGAATTAATATTCAGTACACACTGGGAAAACTGAAAACATGTAAGTTTCTACAAGCAAATGCTTAACACTCAGTAGACACTGGGAAAACTGAAAACATGTAAATTTCTATATGCAAATGAGATGGTTTGCTTCAGGCTTGTGCTTACACAAAGCATCATGTACAAACAGAGCTGTACAATCACAAACAAACACTGTGAAAGAGTAAGTCCTTTTCACAATTTTCAGTTCAAGTGTGCTTAGGGACTGATTGGATTTCATGTCTTCGATACAACAGTTTTGCAGACAGGGCAGGTGTTCTTCCTAGAAAGCCACTGCTTTATGCATTGCACATGATAGCTGTGGCCACAGATCAGCCTCCCTGTTTCCTCATTTGCTTCAAATTCTTCCTGAGATATGAAATGTTGACATGGACTTAGGCTAATCAACAGATGCTGATACTATATGGTTAATAGCGAATTGGAAGGTGCGCTTACCTGACAAATACTGCAATTCCTTTCTACTTCTGTTGCAAAATGCTTGGGGTTGAATGCTGAATACTTGACCATCCTAAGGCTGCGAGCGATTTCATCGTCATGCAACCCTGTGCTTACATACCCAATTCTGTCTTCAAGATCCAGCAGCTCCTATCAAATTGAACAATGGGTGGATGAAGGAGAATTTGTGATGGTAATGTACTAAAAAGTTTTTTTTTTTGGGTTGCACATATTGGGCATGGGAGGGTACCTCATATGTCATGTTGTCAACGTCGAGTCGCCAATCCTGGTGCTGATCATGCATACCGAATCTTCCCCATAATAGCCGTGTTCTTAACATCATGATCTGCAATTTGCAAAGATGATTTAATAAAACTGAAGATGAAAAGAGGTGTTCGTTATATTTGGAGATACACACATTCTGCAAAAATACGCTAAAAAGGTACTGGTGGATCTTAATTGGACATAACTAATTGAGAATTGTGAACTTGGAGCCATCACTTACTAAAGCGGATTGAGTATTGTGTTCACAATCGCTTCTACTTCCTCCGTTTCACAATGTAAGTCATTCTAGCATTTCTCACATTCATATTGTTGTTAATGAATCTAGATAGATGTATATGTCTAGATTCACTAACATCAATATGAATGTGGGAAATGCTAGAATGACTTACATTGTGAAACGGAGGGAGTAGTAAGCAACCAAGTGGCATATGACAGCTCATTTCTCAGAACTAAACATTTCAATCTGTCTTAACTGCAAGCATGTTTCCCTCACAAGCATGTCAGCTCACAGTTCATACTACTACTTGAAGAAAGTGACAGGATTATCTAATCACCAATTGGGCATTCAAACTCCTCACTGCTCATGCTCCAATCCTACAACAGAACAGTAAACACTAAACAATCAACCACCACTCATTCCAGCAACATGGCAGCCAACTGAAGCTGACCAAAAGAACCAGCAGCAACGTGGTTGTTCAGTGAGTTCAGCTTCAGCACAATGATTCAGCATTTATGCCTTATGCGTGTACACAGAAAAGAAAGAGGACTCTGCAACTACACTCAAAGGAGGTCTCTCTTCTTCACCTAACGTATCTATCTATTCATGACCACCATATCCCCTTTGCTCTCATGTGCTCTTCCTTCCTTCCAATCTGCTGCCTGTCCTACATATCCGTGACTACCAAACCGGAGTATGTAAATCAACATGTTGTACTACCATTTTTCAAAGCTGCATCGACCCTCTTCTTTATTATTGAACTTGCAATTAAGCATCCATCTAGAGCTTTAGTTAACAATGAGATGTACTTGACAGTGCAGTGGCACGGGTTGTGTGATTTCAACCTTAAGGTCCCGTGTTCAATCCGTAATACGCTCACAATTTCTTCTTACAAATGTTCGGAGGGACTCACAATTTCTTCTTACAAATGTTCGGAGGGACGTCTCTCCCTCCAAATCTCGTTTTTTTAGAGCTTTAGTTAACAACATGCAAAGCGGATGCCATCATGTGACATCTAAACAAACACATCTACCAACAAGACGGATAATCGCGTTGAAAAGTTGTGTGTACTTGTGTGGTGCAGACGCAACTGATGACTGAAAGTGTGAGAGAAAGGCAGAAATATTGTGATTAGTTGGATAGTTGCATGCATTGGATTTGTGTGTACCTCTTCCTCGGCGGCGCCGACGTGGGGGTGGCGGTATCCATGGCGGTGGCGGCCGGAGGGTGGTGGTGGTAGCAGGTCGGCGTTGAGGAGCGGCATGTCGGGGAACGGCGGCGAGTCCATGAGCGACGAGGATATGTGCTCACGCATGGTCACCCTTCGAGCTCGAGGAGCGGCCGGCCTCTGTTGTGTCCGAGGAATTTTCGGTCAGTTCGACAGGATAGCATACGAATTCAGTCTGAATTATGAAGAAAAACATCCGTACGAGTGATGAACAACGACTGAATTTGACCACGGAGAAGTGAAATCGTGGTCAAATTTTTAGCATGAACAAAAAAAAAAAACGAGGAGAGATTCGATTACCTCTCTGTGGCGCCGCTCCGCCTCCCCGCGGCGGCCGGAGCCCATCGCCGCCGCCGTGTGGTGGGCGTGGTGGTGGCGCGCCACCACGACGCAGTCCACCGACGACGCCTCGGCGGCGAACGGTATCCCGGGAGCGCACGTGCACCACACGTCCCCGGCCGCCGCCGGCGCGGGGCCGGGCGGCGCCACGCCTCCTCCTCCTCCTCCGCCGCCGCCCCTCGCGCTCCGCCTCTCCTGCACCTTCCTCCGCCGCCGCCTCCCGTGCCACCGCTCCGAGCTACTCGCCACCTCCACCGCCGAAGCCGGCGCGTGGGCACGCAGCGCCGCCGTCGACGTGCACCCGAGCCCGCGCAGCGCCGCCGACGCGAGCCCCTTGTTACCACCACCGCTCCTCCCCCGCTGCGCCTCCTCCTCCACCGTCGCCGGCGGCGGCGAGGAAGCCTCCGCACGGGACAGCAGCACACGCAGCGCTACTCTCCGCTGCTGCTCCGCCGCCGACGCGCCGCCGTCGCCGCCGACGCCGTCGCGGCGAGCCATTGAGCTCAACCACTCGCGCGCTCGTGTGCTTGCACTTCTTGGCGGTTAGGTGGGGAGAAGTTATGGAGGAGGACGCGAGCCGATAAAACGCGAGCCATCCAACCGCCACGATCATCCTACACCGTCCGATCACCGTGGCCGTTCCTGATCGGACGGTGCACCTAACCCCGAATTCTTTTTTCCAAGATTGGTCAAAAGAAAACAACACACGTCACAGATGCGACGACTGCCAAGAACAGCAGGTAATCCGACACTTGCACTTCCCCTATCTAATTATAAACTTTATTAATAGAAGTGAAAAAAATATATAATTTAAAGTTGTACTTGATAATTGATAATGCAGTGCACCGGGTGTGTGGTTCTACTCCGAGATCTCGTGTTCTTTTTATCAAAAAAAAAGAGTTTGGAGTGACATCTCTTACTCCAAATCTCTTTTTTTTTTGAAAAAATATATATCATTAATATAACTTCTATATAATGTTTTATCGATTTACAGTAAATATTAGCAAATGAACTATAATAAAAATAAAACTAAAATCAACTTTGTAGTTACTCTCACCATTTCAAAACATAAGTCGGATGAATTTGGCACACTCTAATACAATTAATCTGGACAGAATATGTCACATCAATCTAAAATTCTTTATATTTTGGATGAAGTCAAGTTTTAAAATTTTAAATTTTAACAACAAGCTGAAGAATAAAAGATGGTGTTTTTAACCTTTGTGGATAAACCAGAGTGGATTAGCACTATAAACAGTAGGTGAAATTGAGCTATCCAGCTGAAATTCCCCTCTACTTTTCGGCTAAACAAGCAACCGAGGACAATAAATGGAAGCATATGGCACGTAGGATTAGGAATGCAACGGGACAAGACAAGACAACCTCTTGTAGCACGGCAAGAGACAAAGGCAATTAATTGGATGCAAACCGTTCTGATGGGAATTTGCCGTCCTCTGACACTTGTCTACGTACAGTTTCGTTTTCTGGAATTTAGCTGAAAATTAAACTCGGTCTCGCTGTCTGCATTTGCAACTTGGCAGTATCCAAATTTTAAAATTCGGATGGATATACTCGTACTGTACAGGAGTAACAGGAGTACATTCCTAAACTTTTGTCTTTTAGTAACTGTGGAGTACTCCCTTCGTCCCAAAAAAAAAAAAAAAGACAAACCATGGGTTTCTGTGTCTAGCTTTGACTATTCGTCTTATATGAAATATTTTTATAATTCGTACTTTCATTGTTGCTAGATGATAAAACATGATTAATATTTTATACGTGACTTGTCTTTTTAATTTTTTTCATAATTTTTTCAAATAAGACGGACGGTCAAATGTTGGGCACGGAAACCAGAGTTTGTCTTTTTTTTTTTGGACGGAGGGAGTAATTGGTAGGCTGAGCCAAGATGTCATGTACTACTACTAATTTTGATTCACATGGACAATTTAACACACGTCATTCACTCATCCGTGTCAAACTAGAATGTGCTAAGTATTCAAGATTATCCTTTTTGAAAAATGAAGCCGTCATTTTGGAGTCAATTGTGATGATCTCACATGAGAAAATGAGAGAAAAAGGACCCGGGGCATCTGGCGCTGGCCCAGCAAAAAGAAAGGATAGCATATGGGCCGGTTTGACATCTCGGTGACGGGGAGTGCGGCCTGCCTGACGGTGGGCCCCCACGCGAGGCCGTCCCGGACAGTGTGGCCCATGGATAGTTGGGGCCTTGGCACGGCCGCTTTCTCTTCTCACGTGGCCCGTGGGCTCGTGGCCCGTACGTAAAGGGGGTTCCTGCTCCTGAACAATCTTAGGTACAGTTTAGATGATGCCATTTCAAACCATACTTTTCTTTTTAAGTTGTCAAAGATATGCATATATTTATTTATTTTTGTCAAATTTTTGTAAATACATAAGAAATTCTGTCAAAATTTTAGTAATAGTGCCAACTTAACAAAATTTTGGCATTACCAAATTTATTTATTTTGGCATGAACAGCCCCTTAAATCTCACTTTGTTTTTTAAATTCCCCAAGCCTGATGGAATTCGACGAAGTGCAGTCAAAGTGGCCGAATCTTCCCTTTTTTTCCTAGATGACATTCAACGCAGTTCTTAGTTGAATCTTTCGGCACTTCCTTAATCCGTAAGGGTCAATCAAACTGCATAGAAAAACAGGAAGCATTTGCATCTGGCTTCATCAGAAACGCAACCGATTAAATATAAGGTTGTTTCTGCCTTCTGGATTGCTGGACTGAAATTCACAGATGCACACAAGCATCTCCATTTCCAAGCAACAGCAAGCCAGCAACGACTGATCCGTTGTTGCAGCCTCCAACAACAGAAACATCCTCGTCAGCCGATCTGTTCACCAGTCTCAACCACCCCTGAAATACATGCGAAGATAGCACGCGAAGCTGACTGGACAGGCTTCATCTTGCAAATTGCGAGACAAATCTTTTAAACCTAATTGCTGTATGATTTGATAATAAGGTGCTACAGTAAATATTTAGTAATGACGAATTAATTAGGTTTAATAAATTCGTCTCGCAATTTACATACGAATTATGTAATTTGTTTTGTTATTAGTGTACATCTAATAATTTAAATGTGTGTTCGTATATTTGACGTGACTGGGTAAATTTTTCACCGGTGAAACTAAGCACATTATAAAACGACAGAATGGAATGGACAGGCTGACAGCCGTGGAGGGGAGGAGAATCGGCCGCCGTTGACCACTGCTCTTCTCCCTCTTCTCTGCATCGTCCTGTGAGTTTCTCTCTGCACCTCCTCTCCTCAACATTTTGATGTCCAAACTCCAAACCATGGGCTTAATTATGGCGGTCACATCCTATAATTGTCGCTTCTTCTTGGCCATTTCAGCTGTCATTTAGGAGTAGTTCTTTCCTTCAAAGTACTAAAAAAGAAAGAAAGAAAGAAGAAAGAACGAGAGAATCTTGCAGTTGTAACTTGCAAGAGTATTTCCTTGCCGTTGCAAATGACCTGTCCGTGAGCCTGAACAACGATGAATTAACAACGCGTAGTTGATCAATGATCATGTCTTCGTGTTCGTGACCTGTCCATGAGCAGAATTAGCTGCTATATATGCATCGAAATGACGAATTCTTTTCAGGGAATCTCCTTGCTGCGTTTGAGTCCCCTCTTCTTGTATCAAGATGCCGCCACCGCCGCCGGCGACGTCGCCGGCGCCGGCAGCCATTCGGCTGGGAGCCCCGCACCCGTACCTGAGAACCCACGGGACCAAGGTCGCGAGGCTGCACCTGCTCGACTGGATCGTGCTGGCCCTCCTCGTCGCCATCGACGCCGGCCTCAACCTGATCGAGCCGTTCCACCGGTTCGTCGGAGAAGACATGATGATCAGCCTCCGGTACCCGCTCAAGCGCAACACCGTCCCCATCTGGGCCGTCCCCGTACGCCTCCATCTCCCTCCATTTCTTGATTTCAGAAAGAAAAAAACTGTGCCGGATAGTGCGATGTTTCAGTTCTGTACTAAATCTTGCTCTCGTTGATGGCGCAGATATATGCTGTCGCTGGGCCGATGATCATCTTCATTGTGATATACATGAAGAGGAGGAATGTGTATGACCTGCATCATGCGATCCTAGGCAAGTTTCTTTGCATTGTCTGCTGCTGATTGCAATTCTGAATTCTGAAATGTGAAACGTGAATTGTGAATTTTGCTTGCTATGGATGCAGGGCTTCTGTTTTCTGTGCTGATCACTGCCGTCCTGACCGACGCGATCAAGGATGGCGTTGGCCGGCCTCGCCCGAATTTCTTCTGGCGATGCTTTCCTGACGGGATCCCGGTGAGTTCTTTTGCCACTTCTGTTAATTTGTTCAGTTCATGGGTTCTTCAGAACTAGATGAATCCGGCTATAACTTATTAACTTGCTGGTTCTGAAACTCTATTTTCAGAAGTACAACAACATCACCAGAGGTGTCATCTGCCATGGGGATAAAAGTGTCATCAAAGAAGGGCACAAGAGCTTCCCAAGTGGCCATACCTCATGTAATCCTGAAAACCATTTTCTGCTTACGTAGTGGTTAAACAAAATGCTCCACTGAACACTGAACCAAACTTCATTTCCAAGCTAAAAATTAGAAATGATTTGCAGTTACAAGCTTCCATTTCTGTTCTTGCAGGGTCTTTTGCCGGATTAGGCTTCCTGTCATGGTACCTGGCCGGCAAGATCAAGGCGTTCGACAGAGGAGGGCATGTGGCCAAGCTCTGCATTGTCGTCTTGCCTCTGCTTATTGCAGCGATGGTTGGGGTCTCAAGGGTGGATGACTACTGGCACCATTGGCAGGACGTGTTTACCGGTGGAATTCTTGGTAGGTTTGCATGAAAGATCAGAGCTGCCTTTCACCTGCTACAAATTCCTCTTTTTCAGAGCACGATATCATACTGTCATGTTGGCTTCACTCTGCAGGATTGGTGGTTGCTTCCTTCTGCTACCTTCAGTTCTTCCCACCACCTGCTGGTGAACAAGGTGATGCCTTTAGTTCTTGCTTTCAATCACTTCCTTTTTTTGGGTAAATTCTCCATACATTTTTTCTACAATATAGGAACCTTTCCTGCTGTTTATATTTTTTTAAAAAGCTGTGATAAGTACATGTACATCATCATTTTCTGAGAAAAAAAGTACATATACATCATAGTACAAATACCTTTATGTAAGGCTCAGCTAAAGTGAATAGACATTCTCTTTTAGGAAAGCTAAAGTGAATAGACTTGAGGAAGTTCACCAGCCATCCCTTAATTTTATGTGGAGTTTGTTTCACATTCTTTATCTTCAATACCAGAAATCTTATCCCTAAACTATACAAAACCATGCAATTTGTGCCCATAGTAGATGGATCTCTGGTTTCGCTAACATGGCATCCTAGTTAGAAAAAAATAAAATAAAATAAGGCCCACTTAGAAGAGAAAAAAATGTGGGGTTTGCATCTCCCCCTTCTTCTTCTCTTTTCTCTCTTTTTTTTTTATATTTCTTTTCTTCCTGGGAGGCTGCCAGCGGTAGAGGGAGAGACCGGGAGAGGCGGCTGGCGAGCCTGGGAGGGAGGGGGAGGCGGCCAGTGAGCGCCGCCTCGAGAGGCTCCACCGCCGCCTTGAGCGCCCACCGAAGCCGCGGCTGACCCCGCCCGCGTCTTCTTGGTGGAGGCGGCGGCGAGCACGATCTTCATGGACCTCGAGGCTGGGCGTCCACCGAAGCCGAGCTCACCGATGGCGGTGCGCTGGCGGCGGAGGAAGGAGTTGAGGTGCGAGATGCCATTGTCGAACCTGTCAATGGCGGTTGGGGAGGAGGAAGAGGCAAAGATGTGGCGGCAGTGGTGAGGGTTTGCGGCGGAGGTAGGTGAGGTGGAGGTGGAGGTGGAAGATGTTGTGCGACGGTAGGTGGAGGAGGAGGAGGAGTCCGCGGCGGAAGGGTCATGGAAGCGGCGAGACAACGACGGATTTGGGTGCAGGGAGTGGGCGGGGGATGCCGGTGTGAAGGCGAAGTGGTCGGCTGCCTCTCTCCCCTCTCTCACCGACGCGGCCGGCTGCCTCTCTCCCCCTCTCCCTCCCAGGCTCACCGGCCTCCTCTCCCGTCGGCGCGGCCGGCCGCCTCTCCCTCCCTCTCTTTCCCAGGCTTGCTAGTCGCTTCTCTCCCCCTCTCTCTCCCAGGCTTGCTAGGCACCTCTCCCGTCGGGCGCGGCCAGCCACCTCTCCACCCTCTTCCGCCGGCTGCCTCACCCTCTCTCCCAGGCTTGGAAAGAAAAGAGAGAGATGATGGGGGCTGACACGTGAGCCCTACATATTAATTTTATTTTGCTGACTAGGATGTCACGTCAGCGAAATCCGACATCCATATAGAACCCAAATTGCACGGTTTTGTATAATTTAGGGGTGAAAATTTCAGTATTGGAGATAAGGGATGTGATATAAACTTGACGTAAAGTTGAGGGACGGCTGGTGAAGCACCCTTTTGTTTCTGTCAACTGGCTTAAGGAACGTACTAAACCGGCCCAGTCAGACATGGTAGTTCATGTTAGACTTTTTGAGGCCCATATTCTGAAATTCATAATGGGCCGTGCTAAACCTATTCAGGCTGGATCAACTCAATGAGAAGGCCCAGTAATGTTAAACATAAACCTGAATCTTTGCGTCAAAAAATAAACCTGAACCTTTTGAATTGTAGGATTTTGGCCTCATGCATACTTTGAGCACATTCTTCACCCAGAAGTTGAGAACCAGGTGCAGCTAACAGCTACTTCAAATCATCATCAAGGCCTGGACATGAGAACCAACAACCAGTCATTAGATTCCATGGAAGAAGGCCGAAGAGCTCGGTGAGAACTGAGAACTGAAATAGTGCTGTGAATATCTGAAGTAATTTGTACAGTTGTATAGAACATTTCATGGCACTGTACATTTGCTATACCTAAGGTGTGTCCTGCACACTTAATCAGTTTGATATTAGCTAGGTGATGTACTACTGTGTATACATCTAGCTTGTAGTGAAGATTAGTTTAAACATTGTACATTCATAACTGTCATGTTCTTTTAGATAGTGGAATAAACATAACTTTCATGCATGTAGTAAACTGAATTATTATGATGGAGATGGCTTGTACAGTTGTACATGATGATCATAAGGGAGTCATGTGTTAAATTCAGAGTCCTTGTCCAGGATGCATGAATCCTACCTACCGGATAATAATATTGCCAAATTAAAACACACCTCCATCTACATTTTTCTTCGTCTTCCTCTTAACATAGTTTTCTCACGGTTCAGGTGTTTCATCAGCTACACAGCTAATTAGCTTCCATGCAAAATCGTGTGTTGCATATATGCAACCGTGTTAATTAAGCGATAATTAGAGAAGGCTAAGAGGCATCAGAATTAGGGGAGATGTCGCAGTCTCGGTGTAGTTTCAGATAGTGATGATTCCCAGCTGCAGCGTTATCTTGGTCTTCAGTCTTGCCAGCGTCTATCAACACGACTAGTCCAGCATATCCAGCTGCCGTATTTTGACTTGTGCAGCCACTGAAAACGACTATTAGACTAGTGCAGCCAACTGATCAGCATTCAGCTGCACAGTTGCATTAACAAGTAGATCCTATGGTGTTTCATGGCTTGATGACTCGATTGGCCCAAGTCAACTGCTGCATTACACTAGTATACTGTTGTTAGTGGGATATGTGCTCTGAATTTCCAACGCCCCGGCAACGGAATTGGAATGACTGATGCTCACAAAAGCATTTTTTTCGCACTTACGGCATATGTTGATCATGACTCTGACAGAGCCTAATGACTTTATCCTCATGTTTAGCCTTTTTCTTTTCTGAAAACTAAAATATGTTGGTACAGTTTTTTCCATTTTTCTTCACTATGATTGTAGTAGCATTTTGTACTCCCTCCGTCCCAAAAAAAAGACAAACCCTGGTTTCCGTGCCCAATATTTAACCGTCCGTCTTATTTGAAAAAAATAAAAAGACAAGTCACGCATAAAATATTAATCATGTTTTATCATCTAACAACAATGAAAATACGAATTATAAAAAAATTTCATATAAGACGGACAGTCAAAGTTGGACACGCAAATCCAGGGTTTGGCCTTTTTTTTTTTTGAACGGAGGGAGTAGGTAGTAAAAGCTCTCTTTTTCCTGTGTGGCTTTCTCTCTCTGAAGAAAGAAAAAGGAGATAAAGAAAGCCTGGTCATGTTGGATTGTTGGTCTTAAGATGTTCAGCGTAGCACTGTTTGAATGCAGACTAGTATATGTAGTAGCGGTGAGCTTTGAATGGAGCTATCAAGCATCTGCCTATCTATCTATCTATCTATCTATCTATCTATCTATCTGCACAACTTGACTAAATTGGACTTGCACACCTGCACTGGATCTATCATGCCCACATGTAAAAACAGAGAAAAACTGCAAACTGAACCTGACACGGCGACTTGACTTGCAACTTTCTTTGCCGGGAAGGATAGATATCCCCAGTATAACCATCTCTGAAGAAACTTGATGCTGACTAATCGAAGTATTGAACAGTTGATCCTTCCTCTCGTTTGTGATTCGGTTTGGACCATGGAAACTTAGCTCCTAATTAATCACCCATCGTCAAACATTAATCTGAAACTGTTTATGATAAGAAGCATAAAATGGGACAAAATTTAACCTAGGAACATACAAGAATTGGTCACATTCCATGTGTACCACTTTGTGACTTGTCTGTGATTGCTTGAGCTCATTGCCCTTTGCTTGGCACCTGATGCTAAGCTAGCTTGGCAAGGCAGCATGCTGCACAGAACCCAGCCACCAAGGCACAGGACAAAACGGGCAGCACATGGATTTGGACGAACGAACTGGGCCTAGCTGAATTAGCTACCAAGGAATATCGTGGTTGGCCACGAGTTGGAAAGCTTCTGAAATTTTTGACTCGAAAAAATGCTGTCTTAGCTAGCTGAATTAGCTTGTCTGGTAGCATGCAGGATGCGTGGAGGTTTAGACAGATACTGCCACATGATCTAACGATTAATTAGGACTCTCAAGACCTGAGATGGAATTAGCTAGGTCACACGCTCTTTCACTTTCAGTTTAGAACATTTTAATTGGATTAATTGGTAGCACAATTGTTTTGCCATCCTGCAAGATACTAGTCTCTGAAGCTGACAGGTATAATGCTGCTCCCTCTAGATGATAATGTTCAGTAAGTGTAAAATTTCATGGCTGTCCAATTTGTCAGCATCTGAACATGGTTATCATTACTCATAAATTGAAACTAAAAACCCAGAGTCAAACAGAAATTTGAGCCCTTTTTTTTTCAAAATAAGAAAAAGAAAAATTAGAGATTAGATTAGAGCCATACCAATGGGCCTGCTCTGCTGTGAGGTTTGACGATTGTCCACTCTGAACCAATGGCATGGCATCTTCTCCCAACTTATATATAGATATCTCCACTCATCTTCTCCTAAACATCTATCCATTTTTTTATAAAAAAGATGTTTAATTAGCACTAGCATCTTCAGTGGGCAATGAATAATAATGTCAAGAGGCTTATTTACCACGTCTTACATGCCCCCCAATGACCAACAAAAATATGCTCCAACTTGTTGCAGCACTCACTGTACACGTCCTTAAAGAAACAGGCAAAGTAAAACCTAAGCTTAATTGCAATTGCTTCTTGATCCGGCCAGTGAGACTAGACCAGGTCAAGGATTACCAGCTACGTCAGCGTTTGTGATAAACATTGCCAAGTTAACTCGCACTGGTTCAACGCTAATTAAGCCAGTGAAGTTCATTTGACTCTAGTAACACGCTTTCACCATCTGTCACATTAATTACCTAGCATTACACAAAAAGAAGTTAAGCGGTAGGTGTTATCTTTGTCTTTAGGCTTATATGTTTTTTCTTGCTTTTAATCAAGTGTAATTCACAGCCGTTGGACTAACAACCTTTGTAGTAACCGGTTTTAGCTTCTACTCCTTCCGTCAAAAAAAACTCAATTTCGAAGTTTCCGTATCTAACATTTGACTGTTCGTCTTATTTAAAAAAATTATGAAAAAAGTTTAAAAATATAAGCCATGCATAACGTATTATTCATGTTTTATCATCTAATAATAACAAAAATACTAATATAAAAAAATTTCATATAAGAATTGAGTCTTTTTGGACGGAGGGAGTATGAAGCAAAGGCCATAATTAATTTTATTATCTTACAAAAAGTACACAACAACAAGTGGAAGCTCAAGGGCTTGCATGGAAAATAGGGAAATGGAAATTCATACGAAGAAGACCAAAACGACAATGACCTAAACCAGTGTGTCCGTAGATCTGAGCCGGCCACGGAGTCAATCTCTTGCAAGGTTGACCTGCCATCAATGGCCAACCTCTCCACATGCACCGTCAGAAATTCAGATTGCAACATGCTGGCTGACCCGGCAAAAGAAAAAAGATAAAAAAAAGATTGCAACATGCCCCGGCACATATCACTCACTTGTCTGATCTCCATACCGAAGTCGTCCTAGTAGCTAATTCCACTTGTGCTGCTGCTGCTGCTTCTAATCTCGCGTTCACTGAACATGATAAGATTAATCCGATAATCTAGGGAATAATAACATAGCATGCATGCAACTTGCAGTAATATCCAAAGCATATCTGATCCGAAACGCATATTACACTGCATTCGAATTCAAATTCTACAGCGTCTGCCTGCCTGTATAATCTCTGAATTTTGAACTCTGCTGAATTATGAAGGGTTCCAAGCTAGCTAAGCTTTGTCAATGGTCGCCAAATTCTCTCTCTGTCTCTCTCTGAAATCTGAATGTGTTGTGTGTCCAGGCTAGTGTCGCTAGCAAGAAAGCTCTTGGCGATTGCAGAAGCAGTGGTTGCCGGGAGAAAATTCTAAGGATGAACAGGTGAGTCGACCGGGTGGCGGTGGTGAGACTGCTGCTGTACAAAACCTGAATTCTCTGACACCGGCTTTAATTAAGCAAAGACTAGGAATCATCATACTGTTCATGTTTTCATTTTCATGTGTACACATATACAAATATATCCTGTTGTGAGCTAGCAGTAGAAAATTCAGATGAGAAAATAATATTGAAAATTGAAGGGGGTGTTTATGGACAAGGTAGTGGTGTTATTTTTGTTTCTTGGAAGTTAAACTATGGTCCATCGTACTATCATTATCATGCATGTCGCCAAGTAGTGCAACATCAAATTGAGGTATAGGGAATTTTCAACCAACTTTAATTTAGAGATAAAGTTAAAACTAAACTAGCCAGCTGGCAAATTGCAATATTGTCGTCTAGTATGGTACAATGTATCAAAGGTTAAGTTAAGATTCACAAATACAATTGATCTAATTCGGAGACAAAATTATTTTTTTTTCAACAAAATTTGAAACTTCAACGGGTTTTTGCTAAATCTGAACATGCCTTTTTTTTCGCTAAATTCAACTAAATTAAAATTTCTCATGGAGACACTTCCTAACAAGACACAGGTAAATCTGAAATTTCTTCGCGAATTCCTAACCAAAATTTCATATCCTTCACGCTGAAAGGAAAAATCTGTTAACGTTACCTACTAACTGTTTTTAAGATAATAGACTAATTAAAATTCAACCTTACTACCAACACGGATGTACATCGTCAATCATAGCAAGTTAGTTGGCCTCTACATATCACTAGTACATAAACCCTCTAATACCGGTTTCTCAGCCAGCACTAATTTATCGATATCCAACATAGATGTATACAACCAAGCTAATTGCCTCATATATGAAACTAATCAAAATTTAATTTGCAGAAAGCTAGCATTAATTCATTCATTCATGCATATGCAGTGCCTTTCCTCCTCTTGCTATCTTGCTAGCTGCAGCCTGCAAGAGCCGTGTGTAGGCGCCTCCACGACATCGATCTGTGCAAATGGCGGCCCAAAGTTTATCTGCATGTTTCAAGAGCCGGTGAACCTGGCCATGGGTTACCTCACAAGTCACAACCCTGCAGCAACCACAGCTTATATATCCATCCGGCCGGTCTCTGCCAAAAAAAAAAAAAAACACTTTAATTTTTTTTCTAAGTGTCATCGCGATCCCTGTCTAGCTCTTCCCATTGGAACTTACTTTGCTTCGTCAAAAACCAGATACGTGGCGTGATTTGAACCACGGTTAAAGGCGTAAAAAACAATGGCATGAAAACAGTTAGCATCAAGAGTTGCCTGATGTATCAGCTCGAAAAAGGAGAATTAAAAGTAAGGAGTACTCTCATTCTCTCTTTGGTCAAAATCTTAGAACCGCTGGACATTGGTTCTGTTGGATGTTGCACTGTTTCAGATCAAAAGATTCAGAAATCACGGAAAAATATTCTTAGTTAGACATAAAGTCGTCTGATATTCTGAAACATCTGTACACCACTACGTACATCACAACAAGTATTATTAGTGTGACTAATGCACTCTCTTATATATCATCACCTAGCTCCTAGCACAAGCTAGCTAGCTGCATATACACAAATCAAGAGAATATATAGCATATCAACTACTAGTATATATGTTGATGAGTTTCATGTGCATACAAATACCTACTTCATCCGTTTCATATTATAAGATTTTCTAGGATTGCCCACATTCATATATATAATATTAATGAATTTAAACATATATGTGTGCTTAGATTCATTAACATCTATATGAATATAGACAATGCTAGAAAGTTTTATAACTTGAAACGGAGGTAGTAGTTAATTAATTCATTCATTTACAGAAGATAAGCAATCTAGCTACTGACACTTCATCATGAACAGGACATGTGTAAAGCTATAGGATCGATGCTAGGACATATGTATCTACCTCTCACTTACCTTGTTGCTGCTAAAATAGCAAAACATTCTTGCATATCATGCATCAAACAGTGCATATTATTGCTGCATGCTACTAGCTAGTTATATATGTCCAGATTCCTCTCTGTTGGTAGCCGATGTATCCATCCATCTCCCCAACCTGTGAAAGTATATATCATGCTGCATCCACTTTAGTTTTCCGGCTGTCTCTAAGCAAAGCATAGCATATATATCGTATCAGTCTTATCAGATTATCACTCTCACATTCACTCACTCCTGCTGCTAGCTAAGCTAAAAACCATCAGTTTTTTTTTTCCTTTTGTTCAGGTGCATGCATGCATGCATACAATTATGGGCACTTCACCTTCTTCACTTTCCTCTCCCATTCGACCATTCCATTGGGGAACAGATAACTCCCGAGACTTTACATGCAATGCATCTGGCCTTTGGCACAACACACACACACATCACATCTTGAACCACGTGAAAGCAACACAACAAAATGAGTGTCAAATTTGCAAAGAGATATGTATAGTAGTAGCCACAAATTGATTGATGTCTCCTCTAATTTTTGCATCACATCGATCTCACAGTTAATTAGGAATTGAATTGAAGAAGGAAAGAAGCTGAGCTAGATCGAGCTAGAGACAACAAGAGTTTTGCTAGCTCGATCGATCAAACGTTGCTTCTTATGGCATGCATGAAGCTCTTAATCTAGGGCAGAATTAGTATACACTTGCCAAATTAAAATGAGAAAGAAATGGAGGATTAACAAAGACTAGATCGATTGTGGTAGAGTAGAGCATATATGACAAGAAATGAAATCAAGCAAGCAAGCAAGAGATTTGATCAAGAGTCACTAAACTAACCATTAATTATGTTGCATATATCTGAATAATTAATTAAGCAAGCAAGCGAATGAGCAAAAAAAACGCTAGCTGCATCAGCGTGCTAGCTAGGTTAGCGCAAGCTCTATGCATTGCTTCTTAAAAACCACGTGTGCTTGTGACTCAGCCATGGCGTCCATGGCTCTCTTGCTCTTGGTCATGGCGGCGCCGCCGGCGTCCTGCAGCTCCGGCGCCGCCGCCGTGAGCAGGTCGACACCGAACAGCCTGATAGCCTTCACGGCGGGTGGCGGCGCGGCGGCGGCGGCCACCGCGCTGAGGAAGGCGGCGGCGGCGGCGGCGGTGGTGGGTTTTGCCCGGACCTTGCAGTCGATGAAGAGCTGCGCGTTCTTACCGGCGGCGCGGTAGAAGCCGACGGCGTCGCCGGCGTGGAGCCCCTTCTCCTTGACGAAGCGGCTCCACCCCTTGGTGAGCACGTAGCTCTGGCTGCTGTTCCAGTAGGAGTACCGGAATTTCCACACCTTCCCGGCGGCGTCCTCGAAGTTGAGGAGGACGCCCTTGCAATCGCCGCCGCCGGCGGCGGCGTCGGCGGCGGCGGCGACGGAGGAGGTTGTGGTAGGGGGAGGGAGCTGGAGCGGGAAGTGCTTCTCGGCGTGCTGCTTGGGGATCACCAGCCGGTTCAGCTTCCCGACGTCGCTGGGCGTCACCGTCTTGTCGAACAGGTGCTCGCGCGCGGCGGAGGAGGACGTCGGAGAGGAGGCGGGGTGCTTGGGGGGCGGCGGGGAGATGGCGGCGAAGGCGCGCTTGTTCTGCGTGAGCTCCTCGAGGTAGGTGTGCTTGCGGAGCATGTCGACGACCTCGGCCTTGGAGCGGGACGCGAGGAAGCGGAGCTCGACGGCGGCCTCCGGGTCGGACTCGGCGAGCGGGCGGAAGTTGGTGACGGCGTCGCGGCCGCGGAACCGCTGCGCCGCCACGTCGTAGGCGCGCGCCGCCTCCGCCTCGCCGGTGAACGTGCCGAGCCACACCCGCTGGTGCCGCTCGTATATCTGCGCGCCCCACCGCCCGTTCGGTTGCGGCACCACGCCCTTGTACTTGGACGACGGCAGCTTCCCGCCGCCGCCGCCGCGCCGCTCGCCGCCCGAGTCCGCCTCGGCGCCAGGCTCGGCCGCGTCCATCACCGCGCTGGCGCCGCTGCCCACGCGCTGCAGCGCCTTCGACGCCGCCGCCGCCGCCGCCTTCTTGCCCGTGGACGCGCCGCTGCTCGCGTCGTCCAAGAGACAGCTCGTGCTGTCCATCGATGGAATCTGGTCGAACACCTGATAGAATCAGAGAGATCGATCGATCACGCCGCCGGATCGAGCAGCTAGCTAGCTAAGCTGAGGAAAGGTGAAGCCTCTGAGAGGTTGAGGAGGAAGGGCGACTGCTGCTAGCCACCATGGGTTATATAGATGGATCGATGGAGGTAGGAGATGATGCTAACAACAGTATTTTATTTTATTATTATTGTGGTCACTTGGAGCTTTTCTTATATGATGACGACTTACATTATCAATTATATCTTTTTATGAGGATTACATAACTAATTGTGTTATATGATATATTGGTCACTTCACTTGTGATTTTTTTTTATGAAAATTCATGTGTGTTTTTTCAACTCGTACAAAAATGCCGACTTTATAAATGTTACTTTGTTTTCCAATCTATATGTGAATAAGTTTTTTTTTTCTATTCCCGTGTTTTCAATTCCTACATTATCTTCAATTAGTATGCTTCAATATAATTAATTAACCACATTACATGTGTATGACATATAGGGCATATGGTTTTGTTCTATTCTGTATGGCCACACATATATAGTATTTGTGCTGATGGATTGTATATACCATGGTCTTATGGGTTTGTGTTATTGTGAGTCAACAAGGGGAGATGATGTGATCGCCCATGCACCCATTGGCTATCAGGGCCAGTGTGATAGATTTGTGATGACATCTTTACCTAAATCTTTTAAGTTTGTCTTTTTATGGAATTATGAAACCACACGCATGTACATACTTAATTATGTACTGTTTTATCGAGGTATTAATATATTTATGACAGTTTAATTATCTAGATTACCCTAAAAAATTATGTAGTTAATAAATACGAAAAATTCTAGGGGTTTTTAACAACAGAAAATTCTAGGTGGAAAATAATCCCTTTGTGTTAATTTGGCTAGCTAGCTCCTGGTGTTTGTTGGGGGTGAAAAGCAGTAATTAGTGCCTGGATACCAAAGCTAAATGTCTCATCTATTTTGGCGTTTATACTACAGGTATATATTGTGTGCTGGTCTCTGGTGATAGTGATAGTGATAGTGTGGTAGAATTTTCTGGGAGTTCTAGAAATGATTTTTATGCGTGTCCACGTCGACCAGTTTTTTCCTGATTAGATTCCTGTTTTTTACTTGACTATTCAGCAGACTGTACATGCTTGGTCTCCATGGATTGCCCGGATCAATTACCCTCTTCAAGGATTGGCAGATAATAAATCCTAGTTTGGTTTTAGTAAACCTGTCCCTATTAGTGTAGGAGTGTATACATTAATTCCTGACATTTTTCATTTTTCACATAGCAACATATAAATATAGTTAGTTGAGTCTATAAAGTGATTAACATGAAGTGCGATAGATGGCTCAAAATGTAAAAAAAAAGATTACCAGAATTTAAAATATGAAAAATAATATTAGTAGATTTTCCATGAAAATATATTGTATAGTTACATTTTTTATATTTATTCTATAAATATATAGTTCGATAAAGTAATGATAAAATATGTACATTAGAGACTATGTATCTCGATGCCCAAAACATCATATCCTTTTAAAAACAGATGTACTACTACAGTAGTTTTAGGTTGACATTTTTGGTTCATCTGCTCAACAAGCTTTGTTGTCATGATACAATGCATATACACTATATACTCCATCCGTTTCGAAATGTTTGACGCCGTTGACTTTTTTAAACATGTTTGACTGTTCGTCTTATTCAAAAAATTTAAGTAATTATTAATTCTTTTTCTATCATTTGATTCATTGTTAAATATATTTTTATGTAGGTATATAATTTTACATATTTCACAAAAGTTGTTGAATAAGACGAACAGTTAAACTTGTGCTAAAAAGTCAACGGTGTCAAACACTTTGAAACGGAGGGAGTAGTTAGCTGGACATCAAAATATGGTACATATCTCGTATCGATCATGCTCACTGACCGAACTTAAATAGGGTCAATGATATCCATCCAGTTGCATATATATAATTGAACCCCATAATATGATAATAATATCGAGATGTCGGCTGTGTTGGATTTTAGCATACATGCACAGATGGGTTTCAAGAAGGCAGGGGCATGTATATATATATATATATATATATATATATATATATATATATATATATATATATATATATATATATAGTATATCGTGTCAGCTAACTAGCTAGCTAGTTGACAAATGACGAGTCATAATTTCATAAATTTGATAGGCTCATTTCAGGCTGCTAGAGGGGCAAGTTGGTTAACAACTTCCAGTGTGCGTTTAATTCTGCCATGGCTGGATGCGTGTAATGGAGATTATCAGCATGCCTGCCGAATTTAATCTGGTCACTGGTCAGGTTCGTTGCTATATATGAATGTGGTGGAATTTGCTTTGTGATGTTTTGTCATGTGGCCTGATTAAGTAGGCAGACAACAGAGTAATTGCAACAGACGACTTTGTGTGTACAACTTGGGAGACGACTCGATCGCATATGCACAGTGTAGCTGGGGTCTAGTCGAATTGAATATTGATCAGCAAAGTTGGCAGGTTACTTTATTTTACAAGAAAATTACAAATTGATTTTATACTACAAATATAGGCTATGTTTAGTTCAGCGCAAAGTTTAGATTTTGGTTGAAATTGAAGATGATGTGACTAAAAAGTTGTGTGTGTATGACAGGTTGATGATGGAAAAGGACTGAAGACTTTGGATCTAAACACAGCCATAGTGACTTTCCGTTTAATTTGGAGTGATTTTCTTGTACACAAACAGCATTGTTACTATTCATCAAGTTTTAGGCGACTGATGGATCTAATCTAATGGCCTATCCATCGTCTTCCACCTTTAGACCAGGTGATACATGAAAAGAGAAAAGGAAGATGACAGACTAACCAGTGATGGCGACCCTTGAACTCCGACAAAGATATAATTTTGTGGTTGGAGGCGATGGTAAGGCGGTATTGAGGATGGCTCTAGAGAAAGTAGCCAGGGTTGTGGAAGGCCGATGGTGGATGGTGAGCAGAGGACAAGGGCAGGTGGTGAGGTGCTAGAGGCGGCGCCAAAGCCATAGGAATGAAAGTGGGTGCACACATGGTGAGCTAGAGCAAGAGAAGCAGTGGATTCCGACACAGTAAGGAGGCGGTGCCAGTGGTGGCATGGGGAAGGGGATTGTGTCGGCGACTGCAAGGTGAACAAGAAGAGAAGGCGGAGGAAGGGTTTGGTTGAGGGGGGTGGGGGGGGGAGGGGGTCGGATGAATTATAAAGCAATCCTGGCCATTGAAATATTGAATAATATTTTTTCTATTCTAGTTGAGTGATAAATAGAAGTCCCCACAAATATTATTTAAAAAGTACATTATATAGGCACTACATAAAAGTTCTAAAAGTTGGACGACCAGCCGAAGTTGTTGCAAAAACAACGATCTATTAGTACACATATTAATTAGTAACCACATTATGTGCTGTGCTTGGACGATAATAAGATATGGAAAAGCTATTTTGTCACTTAAGTGGATGTGCACCTATTATTAATTTGTATGTGATATAAAATGGATATAAAAAATTCTAAAAAAATTAATAACACAAATAATTGTGTGAGATATCACTGCGTTAGTCAAGCTTAAATTCAGCCTAGACAAGTTGAAGAAAAAAAAATCTGACTAGAATAATACTTGTACTACTAATGGTGCAATTTGTTTTTTTCCTTATTCTGTGATCAAATTTGAAATTGATTTTTTGCACGATGATAGATGACCAATGTTGTTAATTTTTTTAAAAACTATTTGACTATTAGTATCTGAGACTCACCAACAAATGAAGTGAACACATGTATTGACATCTTTAGCCTCGGATTCGTAGTCTAGTAGTGTATACACTTAGCTGAAAAGAAACCGGTTCCCAGAATTCCTTGCATGGCTGGACAATTCTTCGCTTGTTTAGCTAATTGAGTGTAACTTAACTGGATAGTTTTTTTTTGGAACCAATCTATCTGGGTTCAAGTGCTATACTTGACACGGGTTCTCGTATTTACAGGTAATTATTTTTTCAGGGATAGGTGATAAATATCCATTGAAAGCGAGATGTTTATAGGAACGAGGTGCTTATAGGGATATGGCAGGTGTATTCGTAGAAGTGATTGTGCGTGTTATTATCGCTGTACTATGTTTCTTATAAAAAAAAATTCTTCCCTTTTGTTTCACGAAAACCAGGCACACCCAGGCAGTATACAACAGCGGACAAGGCCTAGCTAGGTACCATGAATACATGCACGGTCGATCTGCGAATGACCGGTACTAGTGCCATGCGTCGTCGACTGCCCTGCACTCTCCATGGGTACGTACAACGCATCATGTGATCGATGGCCGGAGGAGACGACGACGACCGATGAGATCATGAGAGGCCGCGGCATGGAAAAGCGATCGAAAAACCGGGCGCGCGCGAGAGAGAGAGATGGGAGAGCTAGCATGGGAGGATGGAGATATGGGGTCCCAGGAGGAGGAGGAGGCAGGCGCGCGAGGGCGCGGCGTGGCGTTCACATGAAGTGTGGACCATGGCCATATGGCAACTCAGCTGGTGCATCCCCCCTGAAAAAAACACAACTACTGCCACTCTCTATTCTATCATCCCCATCCCATCTCATCTCATCTCTTCCAATCAACACCCAGCCGCCGTAGCTTAGCTATACCTACTATATATCTCTCTCTGCCCATGGCCGTGACAGATCAATCGAGTACCCCAGCTAGCACATATCGATCGATCGAATCTTTCTCCAGCGCTCCACGATTATTGACGATGATCGATCACTTTCTCCTTTTTTTTTCCCAGGCGATTTCGGCCGATTTGTTAATTTAGGAGGGCACATAGATCTATCTATCTATCTAAACGATTGATGCCCTGGATAGATAACATAGAAAATAACCCTGACAACAGCAACCGCAGCATCTCTGCATTTCTCCGACGTCGGATGGACCGATGGCCGGTCACCGTGTTAGTGCATGCGTGCCTCCGTATCATTATTTTCTCTATACGCAAAAACAAAGCTAAGTTACGAAAGATACGTAGTCTAGTGGTTATAATGACGAGTACGTGACACCTTAAGGTTTTAAATTAAATCTTTGTAGGAGCGAATTTCAGATTGGATTGTT